AAATACCAGGACCCCCTGTTCAGGTTCTTTGAGCGTGAAGTGAAAATGGGAGGTAAGATGCTTCAGGAGGTCCGTCAGGATCTGTCCGACGTGGTACAAGTGTGCGAGGGCAAGAAGAAGCAGACCAACTACCTGCGAACACTCATCAGTGACCTTGTCAAAGGTTCTTCACTCAGACTATTTGATGTACTTTAATGAATTTGTTTATTTGTTTGAATACTTTATATACCTGTGGTTTACACCTGTCTGTTCAGGAATCCTCCCTCGCAGCTGGTGTCGGTACACAGTCCCCGTCTCCATGACTGTAATCCAGTGGGTGTCAGACTTCAGTGAACGTATCAAACAGCTGCAGCAGATCTCCCAGGCAGCTGCCAGCGGGGGTGCAAAGGAACTGAAGGTACTGTTTGTGCACACATTCAAACAAGCTTTGGTTCTTAAATAGTTTGGTTAAAAATGAAAACAAAATGTGTTTTCATTTTCTTTTTATTTCTACTCCCTTGTCTCTTCCTCTCATCATTTCCAGAACATCCATGTGTGCTTGGGCAGCCTGTTTGTGCCAGAGGCTTACATTACCGCCACCCGCCAGTATGTGGCACAGGCAAACAGCTGGTCCCTGGAAGAGCTGTGTCTCGAGGTTAACGTCACCACTGCTCAGGGCGCCTCACTGGATGCCTGCAGCTTCGGCATCAAAGGTTAGACTTAACACATATCATCTGATCTAGTTGGCGGCAAAAGCACTGCACAAATCAGATAACAATGCGGCCTTTAGACTGAACAGACAGCGTTGTAATTAAATCATATCCATATGAATTTAACATGTTTTTTTTGTTTGTTTGTTTAATCTGGACTGAAGTCTAACCTAAAAAAGTGTTCGCAGGACTCTAAAACATGCTACTAACTGTATTTGTGGTCTAATGTAGCGAGTTGTTAAGACATGAATTTCTTTTCCTCATTCCAATCTTGCTTGCTGCACCCTCAGGTCTGAAGCTTCAGGGAGCTACTTGTGCCAACAACAAGCTGTCTCTGTCCACCTCCATCTCCACTGAGCTGCCTCTCACTCAGCTCCGCTGGATCAAGCAGAGTAATGCTGAGAAGAGACACATGGTAACCCCCCTCCCCCCCTCCCCAAAAAAAAAAAAAAACCCAGCCCCATTGGGATCTAAAAAGCTAGATTTTGAAATATAGCTATGGAGATGTCCTTCTCACCTTTTGTGTTTTCCTTTCGCTGCAGGTCACTCTACCCGTGTACCTGAACTTCACCCGGTCTGACCTAATCTTCACCGTCGACTTCGACATCGCCACCAAGGAAGATCCTCACAGCTTCTACGAGCGTGGAGTTGCCATCCTGTGCACAGAGTAATTGAAACAAGAAGCTTCCTCACTTTAAGTCTTGATTATAATCAAACCACATTTAATCACTTACATTCATTACCCCATAATAGTTGTAGTAGAGATGTTTGTGGAACTGCAGTGAACATGTAACAGTTCTTAGTGTTCTTAGAAAGTGTTTTGGAAGGTTGAGACGTTGTCTGATTAATGAAAAGAAAATGAAATTTGGAAAGGAAAGTTGGAAAAAAGATGTTTTAATGGAAGAACCAGCACGTTGTTGTATTTAGATGGAATAAAGCTCATTGGAATGAACTGCTTGGTCTTTGTGTTTTAATTAATGTCGTGCATGGTTGTTGCTATGGAGCTCTTTTCTTCTTAGGAGCCTGTTCAGACTGGGAAGTATTCTAAAGGAAATGTTTAAGTGAATCACACACACATGCCAAAGGAAACATCAGTGACATAATGTTCTTTCTTGTGAAGCTGCTATGGATTGTCCCAAATGCAATATCAGCATTGTAACTTTAGACAGTTTTTTCCTGAATGATTTTTTTTTTCCAAATTATATAAAGACATCTGGACTGAACATGAGACAAAAGCAAAGTTCAGCAAGAAATCTCAAATGTAAACTTGTTTTTTGCCCTCTGTCACAGTCCTCCTTTTAGTTACTTTTTTTTTTTTTTAAATGAAATGTAATGAAACCTTCACTGAGCTGCCAGGCACAACAATATAATTATCCATTACTGCCACCTGCTGGTTGGAGGGGTAAGTATATTACCAAAGTTTCATGACAATATGCATAAAATATCTGTTACAGCAATAACTGTTTGGCAAAACCATTTTTATACACTCACTCTCTTTTAGAGGGTCAAAAGTAGAAGACAATAGACTGACAAGGCCAGGTGAGCCTAGTTTCCCTGTTACTCAAACCTAAGGAGTCAAATCAACATAACCATCTGGTTAAAAGGAAGGAATGCACAGACCAGCACAACACCAAAAGGCCATGTTTTGCTAAAACCCTTTAAGTAAAGCTAAAGGTTTGCACTTAAAATCACATTAACTGTTTGAGGTAACATTACATTGTTCAAATGCTTACTGACCTAACTGCAGACACTCATTGAACCTCCATGAACCACTGGAGACTTAAATATTTTACTTTATTCATTCATTTGGATTTGAGCAGCTCATTTGAACAACAATTAGGTTTTGATGAGTCACCTGTGACTAAATTTTAAGCAAGTGATAACCAAATGCCACCTTAACGATCAGGAGGTGCTCAAAGTTAACTATTCATGAATAAACAGAGTGCAATTCCAAATAACTATTTACAGTATTTCAGTCCACCTTAAATCTCAACTGTTAAAGAACTCTAACATGGTTCAGATGCAGAATTGTTTCCTTCTTGTTCATCCTCCATGTTGAAGACGCACTGCTTCTTCCTGTGTCCCAACTCAATCATGTCTGTTCCAGGGAGACTCAGCTTTCTCTTGTACAGAGATCCAAGGTTACACAAGCAGGGAGATCTCTCAGAGGAGCAACCCAGCATGTGAGATGAACTCCCCTCCACTGAGCTTTGAGGTTTAGGTGGGTGAAGTGTGGAGGATCTTGTAATACGCAAGCCTGAATCATCAAGCTGCAATTCCATATCAGAGATTTGTCTGTGTGTTACTGAATCAGTTACCCTTTCTTCTGGAAGATTTTTACAAGCATCCCTGTCACTGTTAGAGGGAAGAGTGTCCAGTTCGCAGACCAACCGGTCAGAGTCACTTCCACATTTCATCTGGACATCCAGAAGATTCGGCTGTTCTCTCAGACAGTCTCTCTTGTCATTTTTTGTCCCTTCTCTGAGGGCAACAGAAGCAGAGTGATTACAGATACATCGCCTGCTTCGGCCCGAGAGTCGACATCCTCCTTTTCCACCACCTTTTGCCTGCTGCCTCGATTGCCTGCTGGAGACATTGACATTTGACTCGTCAGAATCCTCAGAGCTCCCATCGTACGGGTCCAAATCCTACAATCATAACAAGCGCACACATTTTAATTCATGATCAGCAATGTGCATTTTCAACACAAATGGATGAATGAGAGGAGAGTGCATACCAAAGAATAACAGCCATGCCTTTCTGCAGGCTTAAGCGTTAATGGCAACGCCCTCCTTGAGGCACCACTCTCTGGTGCACTGCTCACACACCCCTAAACACAACCACCAGAGGTTCAACATCAATAAGTTGGCAGTTATTTTTACAAAGATCGGTGCATGTCTGGCTTTATATGTTAAATGATCACTGAAACTGTTTTTCCCCTACTATTTGAAAAATGCTTAAACTATACTATATACTTCCAAATTTGCTTATTATGTCAGTGTGCATGTATTGCCCAATTGATGAATTCAAGCAGTACCATGGTACTGGTGTCGGACCATCTTGGACTGATTTCAGAGTCAGAATCTGTGCTGGACTCCATGTTGCACATCTCCTAACAAAAAACAAAGGTCATACTAGTCCAACAGTATGCAAGTGGTCTAAGAAGAATGCAGAGCACCTGCAGATGGGCATTGGGTAAGTATTCTTACCATGTAATTTAAAGTAAGCTGGTCCATACTGCTGGGTGCTTGTCTATCAGTGCTGTCTGAATGTAGAAAACTATATGTAGGTTACATTGCAATAATGATTAAATCAAAAGACAGCCAATAACATATACAGGTGATTTATTCATTTTATTTTTTTGGAAAAGATTGTGCACATGTTACGTTGACACCACAAATGAAAATGAATTAACTAGGAAAATACCACGTCTAAAGAGAAAAAACAATTAAATAGTAATCACTGATACCTGGAAGTGGACGTTGTCTTCTTCTTCTGTGTGCCATGACATTTGGCGCGTGAAACAAATTTTCTTTGGAAATAACGCAAATAAGTCGAGATAAGATGGTCAGGAATGCTGGCAGCTTAATTAAAGAGCAGGTGCCTTGAATAAGACACAGCCAAGTGTGGCCACAGTCAGGTGAGCAGTGAACACAACTGCACTGTCACAAGTTTTAAACACCACAGACTTGGCTAATTTCAAGATTGTGACAAAATAATACGTCCGGTTGTTGCTTTTTCAAAATAAAACGTGTACCGGTCCTGCGTTTTTTAAGTTTTAAAGCTTATTCTAACTAAAATGTAAACATATATATTTTTTGTATGAAATATATATTGTAAACTGTACTTTAAGAAAACAAAAACAGCAACTTGATCATAAGCTTAAACGTGTGGTTGATCGAGTAGTAACTTACTATATATTTATATATAAACAATGCAAATATCTAAAACTTGTATTTTTTTATTTTTCAAAATGTATTTTTTTATTTTTTTATTTTTTTAAATACAATCAAGCCTAGTTTATGGGAGCTTGTTTCAGTCTCTGAAAAAAACTAAAAACAACAAAAATAAATAAATAACATAAATAAATAAACTTATTCCTGAGTATTTGAAATTTCGAGATATGTAAATGTTCACTCACGGGCGAAAATTAGAATCAGAATCAGAATCAGATTCTGATTTCTGATTCTGAAAATTAAAATCAAAATTAAAATCTGTGGCTGAATCAAACTTCTGTGTTAAGTTGATAATGCAAGGTCTTAGATAAAGCTGTCACAACTTGTTGAAACCAGTCGCATCCCTTCCACCAGTTCCACCGTGAGCCGTTGGGGGGAACGGGAGAGTCGGAACGGCCGCTCACATCCGTGCGTAAGATCCGGCCTGGGGGAAAGGGATGAATGTTAATTTCAAAGATGGCGGCGGAGGGAGGAGGGAAGGAGATGAACGAAATTAAAACTCAGTTCACCACTCGGGAAGGCGTCTACAAACTTCTCACTCACTCCGAATACAGCCGTCCTAATAGGGTGCCTTTCAATTCACAAGGCTCCAACCCCGTCAAGGTCTCTTTCGTGAACGTCAACGACCAGTCAGGCAACGGCGACAGGATCTGTTTCAATGTGGGCCGTGAGCTCTACTTCTACATCTACAAAGGCGTTAGAAAGGTAGCATGCTAATGTGGCTTATGCCTGAGGAAATTCGCTATGCTGCAAGTTAAAATGCCACACTGCTGTGTGAGGTGTTGCAGGAGTTTAGGCGTGTCAAGTCACTCTGACAGGTGCTTGACTTTGAAATTAGCTGGCAGCTAGCTACTTAGCTCAAAGCTAGCCTATTAGTTAGCTAGCCAGCGTAACTGGCTAACGTTAGCAAGCCAGTAGCTACCCCGAGGCCAGGGGCTAAAACTCCCGTCTCCTATCCGTCACTCTCTTTACACTTGATGGCGGGTTTTTGTAGTTTTGCAAATATCATGTTGGTGAAGTTGACCTACTGTAACGGTTCAAGTTGACAGAGCTTAAATGGCGTTTATAACGGGCTTGGTTTGTAATGAAACTGTCCGTGTCAGCATTGACAGATTTACGTTGCCACCCTTGACACCTGTAGAAGACCTTTTGACTGACAGATATCGACAATCATGGTGATGCGGATTCATGTGGCTAACTGCTGCCGTAATGGCACTCTGATTTTGGCTTAAGAATTCTTCTTGAGAGGCTGAGCTAGTCAAACTGAGCTGATTTGGTATATTTTTGGTATTTAATAACAATCAATGGGCACATACTATTATTGTGATCTGCTACCCCATAGTTGAGCATAATGTGGAAATCACATAGCAATTAATATGAATACAGGTCTCCGCTGTCATTCAGTATCAAAATTAACTGTCCACGTTACTGTTGATAAAAAAATATGTTGTCGCACCTTAATGTGGTTATTAACGGATACCTGATTTGACATCACAGATTGAATGAGCTCTTTGTTCAATTGAACCTGCGTATAAAAGCATTTTTCATATTTACACACAAACATGTCATATGTAGCCATTTTTTTTTCAGAGGGAAATAGTTGTATCCTGGTTGAAGGTCTGCCATATATTTGAGCTGTTTGAAGCAATTGGGAGAAGGAAAAAACTCGTGTGACCTCAGGGTTTTTAATATGTGCAAGTTAACATAGTTCGAAAATGTTAAATGCCAGGTTACTACACAGTTGGCAATTACTTCAAGTCATATATTTTGGAAGGCTTGGTAAGTAAGAAATGTATTCTGATATATTGTAGCAGACATACTTTTTGAAAACAAAAAACACAAACTAGAAATGTACAGTAGCTAGAGTTGTACAGTAGCCATCACTGTTGGCACATACTGGTTTTTGGAAAACATCTGCATGTCAGCCCTCAAGCCAATGTGTAATACAGCAGGTATGTTTAGTTGTATTGTAACATGATGAAGTTTTCTTTCAGCCTTTGTTTCTGCGATCGTGAGGCAGAAGTCTTGTGATTTTGTACTTTTTAGTGGACTCTTGATCAAGACCTCCATTGACACGTTTGCTCTTTGAGGCAAGACAAAAACAGTCGCATGTCATGGAAATGGAGGAACCCCTGAGTCATCACCTTACCCTGAAAAGAATTTTCCGTTCTACCAGTTGTTCAAACTGTTAATCATTAACAAATTTAACTGTTGTGTTATATTAACTGTCTGCAATGTATGTACTGCAGCTTCTTCACAGTAGTATAATACTGTTTCCTTAAAATGGCTAAAACAACTGCTTTTTGATCAGTTTCTCTATAGAGAAAAGGCATGTCCTTGCTCTTCATGCTCTTCTGTGTGTTTTTCAGTGTTTAGTATTTTGCTTCCAGTCACTTGTCTTATACGCGGTTCAAGATGCTTGATTTAAAACGCACTGCCTCAGTCTTAAAGGTTTGATAGTTTGATATAAAACACGGCACTCTCAGCTGCTATGGGTTATTACTGGTAGTGTGACTAAGTATAGACTTTGCCATGCAGTAGAGTAGTTGGGCATTTTAGATATTTGAAGGTTGCTGCAATCTGTATGCATTCATTCCCCCCTTGCAATCTCGGTCTCTGTTTTCAGGCCGCTGACTTGAGCAAGCCCATAGACAAGCGCATTTACAAGGGAACGCAGCCCACGTGTCATGACTTCAACCACCTCACAGCTACAGCAGAGAGCGTGTCCTTGCTCGTGGGTTTCTCAGCAGGACAGGTACAGCTCATTGACCCTATCAAGAAGGAGACAAGCAAGCTCTTCAATGAGGAGGTAAGTCTAAAGGACACAGGTTGGAATAACATCTATGTACTATTTTTGTAGTACTGTTTAAGGTTGCACCTTACCGTCACCGTACATATTTTCTTTTAGGAACCAGGAAGTGACAATATGGTGCTTGCATGTCATCCAATCCCACAGAATTGATTATCTTCTACTCCACAATTAATTTACAACTGATAAGATTTTTTGTGTGATGAATGCATTGATATTCTTATGTATTTAATGCATCTTAATGAAAAAAAAAAAGTCAAGTAAAAAGTACTAATAACATTACCAAATGGCCCAAAGCTTGTTGTATTAAAGACTTAAAGCTTGTTGAGCATACCAACGTCAATTTTACTGTATTAAAATTATTATTTTTTTGTCTTCCCCTTCTCTTCTGCTCTCTCCTGCCTCTCAAACCTCAACCTATTTTTTCTCCTGACAGAGATTAATAGACAAGTCCAGAGTAACATGTGTGAAATGGGTGCCAGGCTCAGAGAGTCTGTTTCTAGTGTCTCATGCCAGTGGGAATATGTACCTATACAATGTGGAGCATACCTGCGGCACCACAGCGCCACACTACCAGCTACTCAAACAGGGAGAGAATTACTCTGTGCACACTTGCAAGAGTAAATCCACGAGGAACCCTCTCCTTAAATGGACTGTAGGAGAGGGAGCTCTGAATGAGTTTGCCTTCTCTCCAGATGGGAAGTTCCTTGCCTGTGTAAGCCAAGACGGCTTCCTACGGGTGTTCAACTTTGATGCTGTTGAGCTTCACGGCACCATGAAGAGCTATTTTGGTGGTTTGTTGTGCGTGTGCTGGAGCCCTGATGGAAAATATATAGTTGCGGGTGGAGAGGACGATCTAGTGACTGTGTGGTCGTTCTTGGACTGCAGGGTCATTGCTCGAGGTCACGGCCACAAGTCGTGGGTGAGTGTGGTGGCTTTTGACCATTACACCACAAGTGTGGAGGAGAGCGACCCGATGGAGTTCAGTGGCAGCGATGAGGACTTCCAGGATCAGATGATCCACTTTGGACGAGACCGGGCCAACAGTACACAGTCTCGACTTTCTAAGCGTAACTCCACAGACAGCCGGCCTGTTAGTGTTACATACCGGTTTGGCTCAGTGGGGCAGGACACTCAGCTGTGCCTATGGGACCTCACTGAGGACATCCTTTTCCCGCATCTTCCCCTCTCACGGACACGGACACATACTAATGTGATGAATGCTACCAGCCCTCCTGCAGGTGCTACAATAATCACTAACACCTCTAGTAACACTACTAATGGAAACAACAGTGGTGCCAATACTCCTGGCATTAACTCCATCGCTACTACTTTGCCACGTTCCAACAGCCTTCCCCATTCTGCTGGCACCACAACAACGACGGCAAACAATACCAACAAAGCCAGCAGTGGCGGTGGAATCAGTAGTGGTATTATGGACAGCGCCATTGCTACAGGTGTGAGTAAGTTTGCTACACTGTCACTCCATGATCGGAAGGAGCGCCACCACGAGAAGGACCACAAACGCAACCACAGCATGGGTCACATCAGCAGCAAGAGTAGCGACAAGCTCAACCTGCTGACAAAAACCAAAACAGACCCTGCCAAGACCCTAGGCACTCTGCTGTGCCCGCGCATGGAGGACGTGCCCCTCCTCGAGCCCCTCATCTGTAAAAAAATAGCACACGAGAGACTGACTGTACTCATATTTTTAGAGGACTGTTTAGTGACTGCTTGTCAGGAGGGATTTATTTGCACATGGGCGAGGCCAGGCAAAGTGGTAAGTTCTTTTTAATGTAGGAAATGGGAGGAAATTTGAAATGATGGCGCTTATGAGTCGATAAAGCAGTTAAGAAACTAAACTTATTTTGAACGCATACGTTAAACTGTGGATATTTGGAATACGATTTATAGCTTTTATAGTCAAATTGCCACTGAAGTAATAAACATAAGTTATAAGACTTGGTTTAATGTACACCTGCTTTCCAATGCCCAAGTTTCAGTGGGAGAAAAAAAACATCCTATGCTATGACAATACAGTTTGTGGTTATATAATCCAATAAGATAGAATTTTCTGTGGACCTGTCAGGTGAAGGAAGACATAAGATGTATTCATTGGTTCGCCATAATGATCTCGCAGTGCATAGCCAACAAGTCATTTGCATATGTGGTCACATTCAGAGGGTTATGGTTGGGTTCTTGTCATCAGATGCATTTCCAGTTCAACAAGATGGTCAAATTTCATCAAGCTCAGACACTCTCAAATCTCGTGCACACTTGTTTTTGCTTTTTTTGTTTTTGTTTTTATCTCTTAGAGTTTTTATTTCCCATTAGCAAATCAATGATCAAATCATGCAGGTGATATAAGCAGCTTCTCAGTTATAGCTAGTGCTGACTGTTGATTTCTCCAGTTAAAATGACTTGCCATTAGTGACACTTACTTTGTTAATTCTGTAAAGGCTCCATTTAATCTGTCTCTTGGTTAATGTGCTTTCTTCAGTCCACTGACTTTTTTGTGATGAAGACATTATCACTCTGCAACCACTATTTATGTTGATTTTTGTTGCCCAGAAGACTATTATCTATCAAATTAACATTTTGAGCAAGTGAATTTTGTGGTGTCGGTATGTTTGAGCTGTGATATCAGTTATCAACATTAGATCTTATTTTCAGGTTTGAGATGCAGGTTGTGAACAGGTTGGCTTAATCATTGTTAGTCTTCATTAAAGCTGCGACCAGTTTAGGCCAGCTGATCGGAGACCTAAACTGAAACTGTTTGGATTTGATAAACTGCTATTGAATCCCAACCCTGCTCATATTTCACCCTTTATGCTAATAGCTCTGTATTTGCCCAGGCTCTCTGCACTTCCCCACACGCTTACAGCAAAATATGTTTGTGCACACTTGCATATCCAGAATTGCACATATAGTCTGGAATATGCAGCATAACTAAAAGTCTACTTTGTATTGAAAAGACATATGGTTAAAAAATGCTTTAATGCTGAGGCTGTGGAAAAGTTATTTTTTTAATATAAAACACACGGCTACAGAGAAGTGTGCTGTGTTAAGGATCCAGGTGCATTGTAATAACATGTCAAATGTTCATAAAGGTCCCATCAGGAGGGTCATAAGGCTAGTTATAAAGTGAAGTGCCTTGATCGCGGATGTTATTACACCAAGCATTTATTTAAACCGCTGTGCACAGGCTCTTCATTTCTTGCATCGGTTGGAATATGGAAAGATGGGACGCATTTTCTAATGAGCTGTTTGTTGTTTGATTTTTTTTTTTTTTTCCTTTCTTTGCTTCAGTATGTGGACTTTCCCAATGCAAATCTCCTTGTTTTCCTTTTTTCAGGGTTTATTGTCATCCCAAAACCAAGCCAGCTCTCCCAGTGGAACAGTAGTATAGCCACAATATTTCTGCTGCTAAAGAACCCTGCAACCCAGAGTCTGATGCTGCTCTTCACCCTGCAAGCATTGCAAGTTTTCCTTTTCTTTTCTACCCCTCCCTCTCCCAGTTTTGTTAATGGCTTTTCTGTTGTTTTTTGTTTTATCACTCACTCGACCTAGAGAAGGAATGGAACAGGAAAAGGTGTGGTGCAATTGTGGACTATTGTGCTTTTGTTCTCGAGTTTTAATACATTTTAGAATTCTTTTTTTAAATCTTTTTTTGTTTGTTTGTGCGTGTGTTTGCGTGCGTGTGCGCGCGTGTCAAATCTCATTAGGCTTTTCTGGAATTAATGCTTGGCTTTGTTAGATGCAAACCAGACAACTGTGGCTTGAGACTAAAGGGATAGTTCATTTAATTTTCATAATCATCTTTTTTATTTTAATGTTGTCATTTAACCCAACTCAGGGTTACTGACTAAAATATGAACTTTAGCAGAACTATCCTTTTATGACCAAGTGCGTAAGCATCTGAAATTTTTGCATCCATCCACATTCACCCACCACTTCTCTTTTCTTGAATAGAATCTCCCCGTTGATGACTTTGCACTGATTTTTGTTAGCTACTTTGTCGTTTTTTTTGTTTTATAACTTCTCTAATGAAACAAAAAAAGAGAGTTGAGGATTGCCTGGTTCCACTTGGCTTTACCATCCTCAGTCTTGAATTCTGAATCTATATAGCTGGATGCTGCAATCATAGTCTTTTTAAAGAAAAAAAAAAGGTTTGCACTTAAATTAGTTTATAGAAGAATATGGCTTTACATTTTTTGGGTGTGCTCAGAACTCACAGATGGCTAACAGTAGGTCAAGAAATTGATAAAAAAAAATACAATTAAAACCTTTATCTATTGAGCATTTATTTTAATATTATTTCAGATTTAAATCTGCTCTGTATCATAATGTGTATATTGTAATTAATTGATTTGATGGGGGCCTAAGCAAACTACCATTACTCCAGTGGAAGTTTTGTCATTGATAGTTATATTTCTAAAGTATACATATTAATAATATTAAAATAATCTTGAATACACTGTTTGCCGTTTTCATTCATTCCTGCACCCACGCCTAATTCATTTGGTATAACAAAAAGCTGTAATGTGTGTTGTGTGGAAGTCTGGCAGATACTTGAATCTTAATGCTGCTCAACTTCAGAACTGCTGTTTTTAATTTATTTTATTATTTTTCTCCAGATTGAAATTTTAACTAATGAAAGACGAAAAACAGACAAACACAACAAAGGAGGAGGCTTTTCCATTTGACAGTTATGCATTTTTAATGCACTGATAATAATGCCATAAGTGACCCCTGCATTAGATGGAAAGCTGATGGAGCTTAAATTACCCACTTTCTCATCAGTTTATTCTGTCAGCACATCAGGAGTTTGTCGATAATATGCGAGCTTTGAGCAGTGGTTAATACAACATTATACAAATGGTGCTTGATGAGTTTTTCTTTTTACTCCAGTAATGTTTCACAATGATGTGCAGACTGAGTCACAGTCTGATTTAAAGAGCTCACAGCTCTGAGAGAAATGAAAAGCAACAGTCCCTCGAGCGAAGGGGTATGGAGGTACTGGCCAAGCTACATTTTTGCATCCAACAAACATTCAAAAATCCTTTTTAAACCTAATTTGCAGTCAGTTTTTAAGCATAACTGTGCAAAATCTGTTTCCAACCACAACACTGATGCTGAGGACTGTTTTAAGTTCTTGTTCTTGACATTTGTACAGGAAGACTGGGCTTTTTAAAAAATTGTTTATTTCAAGGACTTCCATCAGATCTCTAGAAATCTAAAAAAAAAAATAAATTAACACCACCTCTGAATGTTTTCACATTTATTACTTTTTACAACTTTGAATCCCAGCAGATTAATCAAAGCTACTGTGTGGAATGTGAAGATTTGCAGGTAAGGTAGTGCACTCTCCAACTGGACCTCTCCTATCTTACTGGGGGGGAATTCCCTGATCTCAGGTTTTCCTCAAAAATATTTATGTCAGCTTCTGGAAAAATATGAGTCAACAAAGTTAGTGGAGATTTGTTTGAAATGTCCCTTTGTCTTTAAAAAAAAAAAAAACCAGCTGTTGAAACTTCCAGAGTATTACAGTGAAGTCAAACTATAATTATATAGAGGCAGTCTCAGTCTCATTCAAGTAACGTTTTAAACTTCTAAAAGTGGTTTTTGTAAAAATAGCTGGGAGGTCAGAGCAGGGTAGCAAATTGAAGACATCTGTGTGCACTTTTCTTTTTTTTGGGGGGGGTGTGTGTGTGTTTTTTTTTTTGGGGGGGATGTTAAAATTGGCTTAATCATTTGATTCAAAGTTGTACAATAATAAAACTCAAGCCCAAGTGGCTGCTTTTTGCAGGTGTCGTATTGCTTTACAAGAAGTTCCCACTGTACAGTGTGTTCAATTTTTAAGAGTAAAACTAAACCTCCATGCTCTTAATCCGCGGCATTAAAGAATATGCCGTTTATGAATTTCAGTTGTCAGTTTGCAGTTGAGATAACAGGTTTTATGGTCTTCTGTGACTCGCGTCTCAAGCACAGTTGTGATGTTTTACAGACGTGTCTTCTCAAGCTATCCATTTCAGTACAGGTCTAGCCAGTAGCTTTATTTTTTCTTTTTTTTCTTTTTTTTTTTCTTCTTAATGTAATACTTCCTGTTTTTTGGCTCTCAGCAGCCTCCATGTTTTCTATCCAGAGGTGGCATATAGTAGGTCTTGAAAGCTGCATGGTGTGAGTCATCCCGGGGCTGTGAAGAGAGTAGATGCAGCCAAATGAAAGGCCATATCAAAAAGCATCATCAGGGCACTTGGTTAGTGGTATTAATTTGATTCTTCACATTTTTTTTTTCTAGTGACCATTAATATGCCTTTTGTTTTTTATTTTACTGCATTTGTGTAATGCTCTTGGTAGATGTTATTCCCAGAAGGTATAATGAAGAATTCAAAAATGTGAAAATCCTGGTGTCTGTCATACTGGTGTTTACCTTGGCCAACTGTGACTGGCACTTTTTGGATGTGATAGTTGGCAGTGTGCCTCTGTGAGTGACTGTAAATGCAGGCATAGTGGAGACTGGGAAGGAGATCTGCGGTCCCGGTACAACCACGTTGAGCTTGGGCAGCTCTGCTGGATAATGAGGGATGTTCCGTCGGATGAGGGTGTCTGCTACATGCTTCATGTTGTGCTGGAAATAGAGAAAGTATCAGATGTAATTTGGTGGATTTTATTGGAGCCAACTTTTAGAGCTTTAGCTTACACTCATTAAAGGTGTTTGTCTTGTGTGTCTCCCTCTCAGTTGTTTCCCAACTCGAGCTGGTCGACAGATATGGTCAACTGAGTTTTGTGTCACACAACTTCCGATTACATCCATAGTCCCAGAAACTCTGTGAAGACTCTCGGCCTTCTTATCTGCCATCCTAGGAGAAGAAACACAAGAGCATATTTATTTAAAGCCCTTAAGCAATACACTCAAACTGTGACTTTGACACTAAGGAAGGCTATAATTTAACTTCTGGAAAATATTAGTTATCAGTTAAGATACATAAATACAATTAAGCACTTCACCTTATTTCCCTAAAGTATGTGTGCCTTAGGGCTGTTTCAGCAGCGATTCGTTCATCGGGGTCATAGGCAAGCATTTGATAGAGGAGAGACAGAGCTGGAGCTGGGCATCTGGGGACTAACCGTGAGATGCCAGTGCCTTTTTTTGGAGGGAAGTTGAAATGCATCGCTCTAGACCTGCACAGACATTACAACACCGGGACAAGCATAGCTGAGCACATTAAACTTCTGTACTGATTAGCTGATTTTGTTTTGTGTAATAACCTTAGCATATTTAATGAAGCCATGCAGAATTTTGTGATAATTGGAGTGGGTATAAATTTGTGTGTGTAATTTGGATGAAGTTTGTAACAGAGTTTAAATGTATTTTCAGCCCTAGCTCCCACCCTAGTGTACTTGGAGTACTTCATTACATTTCTTAAAGTTGTAAAAAAAATAAGCTGAATCTAAAATATTTATACAGTTCAAGCATTAATGGAAGGACCTGTATTCACAATTTATTTGTGCCGCTTTCGGTCACATGTAATTACCATAATGAACTGTAATAAACATAATGACCACCTACTGCTTGAACTTTTGGAGCAGACTTTGATCTGGTGTTCCCAAAATATCATGAATCTTGGCAATCTGGTCCAACTCGTTGGTTCCAGGGAAGAGAGGATTCAAGCTGAAACACACAGGTATTATTGACACAGCAAAGCCATTCACACAGGTTTCATTTCACATTTGTTTATGCTGGGGGTGGGAAGACAGGAGGTCGAATTACACAGAAAGCTGAGAATGCAAAGAAGGGCAAAGGCAATGCTGTTGTACAAGGAATGAAGTTTAATTGAAATGCAATGTCCTCTAGCCAAACTTCAAGTATTACAGGTTAAATTCTGTGCTGCACAGGATACCTCATGATTTCAAAGAAGACACAACCGGCGCTCCAAATGTCCATCTTGAGGCTGTAATACCCGTCAGTGAGCAGGCACTCTGGGGCTCTGTACCAGCGTGTGGAGATGTACTCTGTGTGCGGGGGCTTCGAGTACACGCTCCGACACGAGCCAAAATCGCCAAGCTTCAAAATGTTTTGCTGCAAGTTGCACAAATATATGTTAAAAATGACACTGAAAATAAAAGTGCGACTATTACATTCTTGTAAGTCTGATTACTGCAATGATGCATCTCACCTTTATAAGAATGTTTTCTGGTTTTACATCTCTGTGAAAGATCCCACAGCTATAAAAGAGAACACAGCCTCAGGATACCCAAATAATGCCTTTATTTAATCATTTCATGTGAACTTGAGTGTTTCCTTTTTACCGTACCTGTGCATGTGTTCAAGCGACTTGCAGAGCTGGTACATGTAGTGCTTTACTGTATGTTCGGGCAGAGGTGTTTTTCTTCCTGCAAGGAATAAAAACTGTTTTGATCCTTAAACAGCTACAAAGTGAGCCTAAAAGTTAAAGTGACTCCCTGCCAGATTTAAACTTACCTTGTATATACTCATAGATATTCATTTCCATCAGCTCACAAATCAAAGATACCCTTCCAGTTTCCTTGTCACTGAAACATTTTGTTAAATTAACATGACGTACCATATCATACATTTAACTACGTGACAGGCAACACTTACAAAATCAGTTCATGTAGCTGGACAATATTTGCATGAGGGCTCAGTCTCTTCATTGCCTGGACTTCCCGCAGATTGTTGGCCTGCTCCAGACTTAACAACAGAGTAAACCATTAGCACATTTAATATGACAGAGGATGTACTTTTTTTTCTTTTCTTTTTTTAGCTTTTATTGCGATAATACAGGAACTCTGGGAGGGAGTGCAGAGGAAGACACTCAGTAAATGGCCTTGGGGCGATACCCGTACATATATGGGTTGCTTTCTTAATTCAGTGAGCTACACCAGGCTTACCAGATTTAATGACCATAATTGGTGCATTATTGTGAACAGAATACTCAACTGCTGACTTATGTATCAATTGCCCTTACAAAGCAGAGTATGGGGGAACTGCACATTACTAACTGACAGCTAGTTCCAGAGTACATACCTGTTTATTGTCTGCTTCATGGCTTTACATGCATAAAACTTCCCATCTTTTAAGCTCTGAGTTTTCAGGACCTCTGAAAATGTGCCTTCCCCAATTTTCTTGATTATTTTGTAGCCTGCAACAATTCATAAAAAAGACATATAAAAGGTTTTCAAAAAAACAAGAATACATTATTTCTCATATTAATATTATGAATAATTTAAATTGTGTGTGTAATTGCACAGGAAAAAAACAAGTCTGCCTAATCTAGAGGGGAATCCTGTGCTCCACAGACAGTAAAAACTAGAACATGCCCCATTGGACAATAAAGCCCATGATAATTTTGGTGGGAGACAAGGAGCTGTCATTCTCTAATTTATAGCCCTCAACATCCAATTGAAGACATTTTGTCTTAAAACTGTGAGAAAACAATGAAGACTATTAATTTATCAAACATGTAAGTTGGTATAAAATCTTTTTTTTTTTCATACATCCAACAGTCAAAAACCCAAAGATAGTCAGTGTACAGTCAAAGAATGCAGAGGTCAACCTATTACCCATATAGAAACTAGGGTCTTTCAGAATTTGTTACTTACAAATGTAGCTTTAATTTTAATGATTTTAACTAACTGGTAATAACTATTTTACTCCTTCTATCACTTCTCTCCACCCTGCCTGAACTCTCTTGGTCACCTCTTGGTCACTGCTCCTTGCTTTGGACGCTTGATCCCAACTCATCTACCTTCACTACCTCTACTCCTTGCATCCTCATCTTTTGTACCAACTCATTTTGTATAACAAAAGCTGTAACGTCTGTAGTATGGAAATGTCAAAAGTGGAAGTCTCGCCTTTTGTATCTGTCTTTTTCTAATTCACACACATAATAAATACACGAAAGAACCCACAAGAGCAAAATCACTTCGTGTCGTCTATAAAGGAGATTTACTTTTGTGTGACTGCAGCTTTGACAATCTGTATAGCTAAATTCAAACCAGATAACATCATTTTTTAATGCTCTTTCTTGCTAAGAAAGCTGATTTTTAATGTGTTAACTATCCAAAATTAATAAGAAAAGTATTTTTTAATATATAGGCTATCTATTTTTATTTTTTTATTTTAATTACTGACTACTGTTTATAGTCTCTCTCTCTGTCTCGCTGTATATGTCTGGCAATAGAAATGGCAAATACGGGCGGGCGTGTAGGTCAACTCTAACGTTACCAATTATCGGTATAATGCTGATTTAATGTATGGGGAAAAACATATAACTAACAATAACATTTACTTAGTCTGTTACAGTTAAAACAGCTCATAGTTAGCAAATACATAAAAGATATTTGTAAAGAAACGTAATCGATGTGTAACCCAGACAGACCTGTCATCACTCCGCTCAGCTCCTAACTAGTTACTTACGATGCATTCCTTTGAGTTTTAGACACCACTTATGCGTCGACTATCCACAACATGCATATGTGGATGCTTCATTTCGCTCATAAGTTTAAAAATAAATAAATAAATATATATATATATTTTAGCGTACTGTTGCGTCAAAAGGACATTGAAGTCGCATTGAGGGTGCTAGCCTAGCGCCGTTAGCGTGAATCCTGTTAGCTGACCGTCGCCCTGGTAACGGAGCACGCCTTCGCCCTCCACTTTGACCTGAAGGAGGAAACTGGAAACTCTAGCTGCTTCCCTCACATCAGTCCGAACATGGTTTGAATTAAAAGAAACAACAAAATATGGCCTGTCACGTATGAAAAGTGCCACTCGAGCTGAATTATTCGCAGCAGGCCCAGATATATAGCTGCAAATCGATTTCTTACCTTTTTTCAAGAGATGAATGGCAGCTGCTAGTTCGGATGCTTTTTCGTTAAGATGCGGGTTGTTATTCTGCATGTCCGCAATATTCCCCCTCTTAATCCAGTCGGTGTTAGGTGGTGATTTGTACTCATTTCGAAAGCTTGCTCTGTTTTTCACGTCAATGAGCCAGTTTGAGTAGTGCATCATTGTTGCACATTTATTGGTAAAATCTAGACCATTAGCTTAAAAGCATACAGAAACAGGTCCCGTTGGAGCAAAGCAGCCGCTTCACCTACATTCATATAACAAGAATAACGTTACCAGATAAGAGTCCTATTCACTCACGACCACTGTGCGCAAAAGGCGTGGACCTGATCATTTTTGTGCCTTACCAGTTTCCGTAAAACTGCCATATGTGCGCATGTTCAGGAATTACCTGCATGTTTTCTTTGCCGATTTTGCTGTAGAAATGTGAATATTTTCCCTATCACTTTGAACAGTTCTTTTTTGTTGTTGCTGTACCCTGAATTAAAATCACGATGAAAACACGATTTACTACTGTGGATATCAGGGCCGTTATTGCCGAGATCAATGCCAAGTAGGTGCTTGTTGTTAAGCTAAGCTAAAATTAACTCTCGTCTGACTGGCTGTCCACTGCATATTCACACACTTTTAGTTATTCATGAAGTTTTACCTCTTTCTTCCGCAGCTACATTGGCATGAGAGTCTATAATGTGTATGACATCGACAACAAGACGTATCTCATCCGTTTGCAAAAGTAAGAAAACTGTCCTCTGAAAGTTTTTCTCTTTTATAATGAATAAAGCTAGTAAATACAACAGAAATATCACAAAACTAGCTATGCAGCAGAATGACATTGTTAGGTTTTGCATTTCATTTATGCTAATGACAATTGATGCATTCATACACAAGTTGCCACATTTCAGTGAATGCATCGTCTTCGGAAATATGTTTCAAGTGTGTCCCAGTCGGTTGCTGTTCATCTGCTGTAGATAGTTTTTTTTAGACTTGTCAATTCTTCTTTTGTTCTTTTGACTAATAGTTCCTTAGTAATCACCTTGTTAGTGTAAAAACACAATTTTATGCCCGTCAAACTGTGATGTCTGTATTTTGCATAGCTTCAGCTACAGAAATGGGGACAGATGTGTGCTTTTGTGGCAGGTTGCTAGTAACAGAGTTAAAAATAGAATTTAAAATTGATTTTAGACACATCACTCATTTATCCTTTGAGTTATGTGTTGGCCTGTTAGGTCAGTGTCAAGTGCCTAAAAAAACAACAACAAAAATCAACATTCTTGTGAAAATGGTCAGGTACAAGGACTGAACTGAAAATAAATAACAAGGCAACCAGTCTCCAAGGGAAACTTTGAAAGAGCCTTAGGTCAGTCAGTAAAGTCTGATATACTTGGAAAAGTATATAGAAATTAGGGACGGCGCAATACATTTGCACACTTATGATATTTTCCTTCCTACCAGAGCAGGAAATGGAAGTACTCAAGTAAAGTACTTTAAAATTAAACAGTAAATTTACTGAATTGTTTCCAGCACTTTAATCAGTGAGAATAACAGAGTGTTGCATCGGCAGGCCTGACAGCAAAGCTGTTCTCCTGATCGAGTCTGGGACTCGTATTCATTCCACAGACTTTGAATGGCCCAAGAACATGATGCCTTCAGGATTTGCGATGAAAGTAAGACTATTTAAAAAACATAAAATAATATAATTGTGTTGCTATTTTAGGATACTTATTGTGATGTAATGAGTTTATTGTCCCTTTGGCTTCACTGTGGATAAATAATTTAATTAGTATCCTTACTTGCACAAATTCAGTGACTGTATTGATTTGCCTGTCCCTAATAGATGGATCTGTACAGTAAATGTAAATGTCATTACAATGACTTGTGGTTGTTGTGATTTATTTACATACTACATTTGTGTTTGTTTGTTTTTGGATCACTTGTTGTGATGAAACTGATGTTAAAGAGGTTTTTTTCAGTGTCGAAAACACCTGAAGACACGCCGGCTGACTCAGATTAAGCAGCTTGGGATTGACCGGATTGTCGACATCCAGTTTGGCTCAGATGAAGCTGCCTACCACTTGATTATCGAACTATATGACAGGGTCAGAAAACATTTCAGATGCTTTTTACATTTCATGTTCATATTCAAAACCTGTTACTTACGTGCAACCGCATATCTGTTTATGCCTATTTGTCGGGGTGTTCATCTCCATTTTCAGGGTAACATCATCCTTGCAGATCATGAGTACACCATCCTGAATCTGCTGCGGTTTCGGACAGCAGAGGCAGAAGACGTTAAGATTGCTGTGAGAGAGCGCTACCCTGTGGAAAGCGCCAGACCCCCCGAACCTCTCATCAGTTTGGAGCGGCAAGGACCTCTTTACTAGTTTCTGGATAAACTGAACATGGTTCAAAATTTAGTTAAAAAAAACAAAACAAAACTCAGAACCTTATATCAGTGATTTATTGTTGTTTTTTTTATTTAGGCTGACTGAAATCCTTAGCAAAGCACCAAATGGGGAGCAAGTGAAAAGGGTCCTGAATCCTCACCTTCGTAAGTATCCAGGCAAAAGATACACAAGTTTAATCTTTTGTTTCAACATGTAGAAAGACTATGAATCTTTTTTTCCTTTCCTAACGCATCCACAGCATACGGAGCCACTCTGATAGAGCACAGTTTGATAGAAGCAGGACTGTCGGGCTCTATCAAAATTGACAGTCAAGTTGATTCTGCCCAAGGTATAGTAGGGCAGTTAGACTATTTTATTTCTCTTATATTTTTCTATAAATCTCCAACTAAATTTGGTCTCCCTGCTTTTTTCTTCAGTTGCTCCTAAAATCCTGGAGGCTCTGCAGATTGCAGAAACTTACATGGAAAAAACTGAGAACTTCAGTGGCAAAGTAAGCAGTTTTTAGATTAAGATTCTGTAGTAGTCTGATTGAATTCACTAACTCTTCTTTATTATAACAAGGGTTACATCATTCAAAAGACTGAGAAGAAACCAAGTTTAACTCCTGGCAAACCCAGTGAAGAGCTTCTCACGTATGACTCTGCTTTTACATCAAGGTGTACCTTTTTTCATCTGGTTGTGAAGTAAAGGATTGTTTAGCTCATGTGTATGATGTCTACTTGCAGATACGATGAATTCCATCCATTCCTTTTTGCCCAGCATGCAAAAAGCCCCTATTTGGAGTTTGATACCTTTGACAAGGTACATGGTAGCGCAGCTACATACCTGGGGGATCATAATTAAGTTATTTTTTCAAGAAAAATAAAGACTAATCCACCACAATAATCTGACACAGGTGGTAGATGAGTTTTTTTCCAAGATGGAGAGTCAAAAAATTGACTTGAAGGCCTTGCAGCAGGAGAAACAGGCTCTGAAAAAGCTGGAAAATGTTAAGAAGGACCATGAGCAGAGGTTGGAGGCCCTGCACCAAGCACAGGTTAGCAGCAAAGGCTTTACATAATAATTCTTGCTTGTACGCACAAGGAGATGTTGAGGACAATAACCACTCAGCTGATCGTGACTGAAATCTCGTTCTGTGTGTTGCAGGAGGTGGACAGAATAAAGGGTGAACTAGTGGAGATGAACCTGCCTGTGGTGGAGAGGGCGCTGCAGGTGGTGCGCAGCGCACTGGCCAATCAGGTGGACTGGACTGAGATCGGTGTTCTTGTCAAAGAAGCGCAAGCTGCTGGAGACCCCGTGGCCTGTGCCATCAAAGAGCTCAAGCTGCAGACCAACCACATCACCATGCTTTTAAAGTGAGATCACCCCAAAAAGCAATGAACTTAAATGTCGTAATTTTTATGTGAAGTCAGATTGATATACGCGTGTTGTGTTGTGTCACATCCAGGAATCCGTATATTTCTGAGGAGGATCAGGAAGAGGAAGAAAAGAAAGAAATTGTGGAAACGAAAGGGAAGAAAAACAAAAATAAAGACAAAGGACAGAACAGGAAGCTGCAGAGGAACAAACCCATGTTGGTTGATGTGGATCTTGGGCTGTCTGCTTATGCCAATGCCAAAAAGTAGGTTGATGTGTGATGTGCACACAATAATGCATTATGTGGGGAAAGTTGATAGACTTTATTATTGTGTTTTTTTAGGTACTACGACTCCAAACGCAGCGCTGAAAAAAAGGAACAGAAAACCATTGAAGCAGCAGATAAAGTAAGAAAACTGTCTTTTCATTTTTCCATATGCCATGATGTGATTGTACGATCAGCAGGAAGCAAGATCCAGATCTGTTCTTCTAAGGAACGTTGTTTTCTTATGCATTAAAAAACTCTCCTGTGGAACAAACTCCCAGTTTTTTTATGCGGGGGAGCCAAGACACTTTCTCTATTTTTAAGATTAGACTTAAAACGTTCCTGTTTTAGTAAAGCTTATAGTTAGTTCTGGATCAGGTTACCCTGAACCATCAACTAAGCTTTGTCCACACTGGAAGCGACCACTGACTGTACAAAGCGCATGATACCACTGGTGATGGGAGGTAGGCGTGAGATACATTTTTATCTCTTCTGAGACGGGGCGACTGAAGCGACCACCACTAAATAAAATGCTACCATTGCCTGGCATATGACCTGGAACTAATTGCAGTGGAAAAATGAATATACTCAAGCCGACTAGCCGTCACCTTCAGCTCTTCTTCACTAATCTCTTTTTGCTTCCCACGTGTTTGTACACCACTGCTGTATTTAATCATAAGTTATCACTAAACTCTGGGGCTCTCTCTCACAGTTTCTCTCTTGTTCTTTTTCTGTTTGCTCTTTCTATTTTTCCCCCCATACCCCCAACCAGTCACGACAGATGGCTGCTCCTCACTGTACCTGGTTATGTTGGCGGTTTCTTCCTGTTAAAAGGGAGTTTTTCCTTCCCACTGTGAACAGTGCTTGCTCACAAGGGGTCAACTGATTGTATGAGTTGCTTTCTACTACTGCCAGGTCTTCACGCTACAATAAAATGCCTTGAGGCTACATCTGTTGTGAAATAACAATAACATACTTTATACTCTTATACTTAAATTTAGATTTTACTGATAATTTTTCTAACTTAATGTCACTAAAGGCCATGAAATCAGCTGAGAAAAAAACACAGCAGACCCTGAAAGAAGTCCAGACAGTGACCACCATTCAGAAGGCCAGGAAAGTCTACTGGTAAGACATGGATGTGTATGTGTGGGAACTTTATAATGTGCTTGATCTGTTGAGTCTGCTTTAACTGTCTGTTCCCGTTTGGCAGGTTTGAAAAGTTCTTGTGGTTCATCAGCTCCGAGAACTATCTCGTCATCGCAGGAAGGGACCAGC